TATTAACGAGGGAGTTAAAATATGTATCAATTGTGCTGACATGTATGATGAACTTGAATGATGAGTGGATGTGATACATATTGATGTGGATAATGACGTGGTGCTGAGTCGAATGTTAACTGGGTGGACTATGACAATGGGGAGGAGGATGGTGAATCAGATAATTGTGGCGATGTGACATGATTGATGACAGTGATGGGAGAGATCCGAGTGTTAAAATAGGTGTGGTTGTCCTCTTGGGTAACGTTTGTCCTCACTTTTTCGTTTGAAGAAATAACAATAAAATCTTACTAAAATATGTAAATAATAATTTAATTTTTTAAAATTTCATAATTTTTATAAATTTTTAAATATTTTTATGTTATTAATAAAATTATATAAATTATTAAGATATTCTTGTTAAAAATAAATGATTCATTCTTCTTATATTCGTAACAATGCAATGATAAATAAAAATTTAATATACGAAGTTATAATTTGATGTTGCATTGATATAAATTTAATAAAAAAATTGTGAATCATTTATTTTTAATAAAGGTAATTTAATAATTTATATAAATCATTAATGATAGAAAAGTCCCTAAAGATTTCAGAAAAATTATGATATTTTAAGAGACTAAATTATCATTTATATATTCTAAAGAGATTTTATTATCATTTTTTCTTTTCATTTTGACAATTTTTGGCCACAACAGCCTGCTCCATCGAAAGGGTTTAGTTTTTGTACTATACTCGATTCAATCTCATTTATAAGTTAGATTTTAAAAAGATTTATTTAATCTCATTTATAAATCATAGTATAATTTTTTAGATAATATTTAAAAAAAATATTCTTCATGAGAAAGAAAAATAACATGACATCACTTTTTTATATTTATTATATAACAACATATTTAAAATTCTACATATTTTTATTTTTTGTATTTTTTTATATTAATATTAATGAGATTGATAGAAATAAATTAAAAAAAGATCGGAGGAGTATTTTTCTTTCTCTCTCTCTTTTCTCTTACTTAAAAATACTTTTTTTTACATGTAAGTTTTATTAATTTTTTATTACTAAATGAGGTATGCAGCAACTTACAATTTAAATAAGGATTAGAGATTTAAGATAAAAGATTAGCCTAAGAAATTTAAGGAAAAAGATTCAGACCCAAGTTTCGCAACAAAATTTTCACTAGTTAACCAAGGAAAAGAAGACTTAAAAGAAGGGAGAATGACCGAGAGAATTTAATTTAGGTCTCAAGTGTTAAATTTTAAAAATTTATAAGTTTAACTTTCAATTTTATAACTTTGTAGTGATGGATTTACAACTTGTGTTCTAAATTTTAATAACAAAAATAAATTTATTTATTTTTCAATCATGTTTAAATTTTTAAAAAAATTCTAAATTTATCACAATAAAATCACAAAATTGATAAACAAACTTACAAATTTTTAAAATTTAACACTTAAAATTTAATTTAAATTAATCAATCTTTTTGAAACTTATCTTTTTAAAAATGATCTGTAGTTCTCTTGAAAAAAAAAAGGTGAGTGGAAGGTGCAGGGATTGTCCGTCGCATTATGCAATGCATTTGCCAAGCACGAATGAAGGTGCTTCCGCCTGTGTTGTTAGAGTTGAAAAAACGAGTTGAACCTACAGATTAGCTCATTTAACCTGCACAATTTAATAGGTTGGGTTGAAAAAATTAATTCATTTTTAAAAATGAGCTGAGTTAGCCCAACTCGCAAAAATAGCGAACTAAAACGGACTAGCCCGCGAGCTAGCATATTTTAAAAAAATATTTTTTTATTTTTTAATTACATTATATTTTTTTTATAAATCTACAATAATGATAACATTTCTTAAATATATAATTTATAACTTTTAAATATATTCTTTACATTTAAAATATAATGTAAATTCTTTTTATAATTTACAAATAAAATTTTTGTTATAGTTTGTGAAGATGATTTATTAGTTTTTATTGAAATATTTTGAATATATATTATTTATTAATCTCATAAGATCTATTAATTGAAATTATAAATATGAATTCATTGAAAAAATAATATGGGTTTATATTCAAATTTTTTTTTCTTAGTAACAAAGATAGCACACCTAGATGAGAAGATGATTAGTAGTAAAAATCTAGCAAAATAAATTTGCTTGGTTAAATTTTATGTTTATTTTATTTATTTACAAATTTTTTAATTGCTAATTTGCTTTAAAATATGAAATAAATAAATATATTTATATTATGTAAATTTTAAATTATTAAAAAAATTTGATAATTTTTTGTAGGCCAGTTCACGGGTTGGCTAGCCCACTAGAAATGGGTTGGGTTAGATTTTCTAGCCCGTTTTATCTAGTGGGCTGGCCTAACTCAACCCGCAAAAATGCCAGCCCATGCGAGCTGGCCCGTAACCTGTTTTTTCAGTACTATGTGTTGTGTACCTTGGTGAAAGACTAGCGCACTACAATAAAAGTGTTTGACATGAGCATGACAGCTATATAAAATGTCAAATTTTAAAACTTTTGGAACCCAAATTTTAAACTACAAACTTTCAATTTTAGTGATTTAACTTGAAATTTAAGAGAAGACCTTTCTAATAAATAACAATGGAACTGGTTTTCCTTTTCTACAGAGCAGAAAAGGGGTTATTCCAAATTTGTATTGTTAAATTTGATTATTTAAATTTGAAAATTTTTAAAAGCATAAATCTAATTTAAATGGTTTAAATTTATAATCAAAAGATAATAGAGAGAAACATACCCAAAATAACAACTCCTTATTCCATGTTTCGATAAAGAATTTGAAACCTAAAACTCATACTAAGTATAACTTAACACTTTAAAAACTTGACCTCTCATTTAAGACCAAAACGTAAGTTCTTACAACTAGTGATGAATCCAAGGGAGGATGAGCAGGGGCTGTGGCCCCACGTTTCAAAATTTTCTTTGTAGTTGGTGAGTTAATCTTTATAAAAAAAAAAAAAATGCTAACATCACCTTTAGTTTCCTTACTTATAAATAAAATTTCAGTTACCACCCCCCATAAAACAATTTATGGATTCGTCCCTGCTTACTACCAAGATCACACAATTATCAATTAAGCATGAAGGATCTATCTATAAGATTTCAACCTCTTAGTTTCCTGACTCCTCAAAACGACAATATAATTTTGAAAAACATTATGGAGTCAATCAAGTTGAGGTGACTAACCTCAAGGCAATCCATGCCAAGTTGCTAACATCAAAGAAAGGAGCACATTAACCTTTCACCCCCAATTTCTGGAGAATCAGAAGTCAGGTGTTACATAGCATAAGGCACAAGCAGAACAATACTATGCTTAATCATTGGGAAGTATATATAAAAACACTTACGCTCGTTTGGTTATTAAAATAAAATAAAATAGAATATATTAAAAAATCAAAATAAAAATGAATTAAATTTTCCTTCCCCCTATGATAAATATAATAAAACTTATTAATATATATTACAAATGTAAGAATCATCACACTATTCAAAAATTTCATAAATCATGATTCTCAACCTCATGAACTAAATTACTCATTTCTCTTATGAATATGCTCACATATCACCCTTGATCATCTATACTTCCTTCACAATCTGCTCACTAGTGCTTTTCACTTGTGAAATGATAAACCATAGGGGTGAGTGAGACTCACTAATCTAGCAAACCAATCATCAAAATTAAGGATATGTACATGCAAGTGGTTCTTAACAACACATCAAAAATTATAACTTGCATATATAGCCATATGCAGGGACAAATCCAGGATTAGATACAGGGGGAAGAATTACAAAATAAGAGAGGGATGAAGGGGCTAAAAAGTCTTAAGCACTTTTATGCGAGTAAAATACATATAAATTAAAGCAAATTTGTCCACATATACTAGACTAGAGTTTTAAAATCGATCTGCTTAGAGAGATGCGCAATCTCCTTGGTCGTGCCAATCCCAAACTTAATATAACCCGACGATTAATTAAATGGCCAACACACAATTATGAGACATACATGCCATCAACCTATTTCAAATTAAAATAGCTAGCACACAACTGCGAGGTATACATACTATTCAGTCGGGGTCACATGTGGCAGCCAAACAAAAACACAAGGTATAGGGCCATTGACAACTTTTTAAATAGTAATATGTTGTAATTAATATTAATTAACAACCAATTATACTATTCATAATTTGTGCTTGGTAAAACTTGTGTAAAATTTTATGCGGTTACAAAAAAATTGATCTTATTTTATATATTATACTTCCTTTACGTTTTATTAACACATTAGTCAAAAGTACAATTGATATTAAAATTCTTTATGAATTTAATAGTCTTCCCTTAATTTATTTAATTGATTCCATCCATAATTTTTTTCTCTTCATGATTAAAGTGAATGAAAACAAAGGTATAATTGTTGGCAAGGAAAAAAAAATTAGGGTATAATTAAAAAATAGTAATTAATGTTGCCCTCAACTTTTCAAATAATAATCTACTGAAGTAGCAAATGACATGTCTCATGGAGATTATTAGGAACTACATCAAATGGATTACTGATTCGGAGCAATTTGGAGCTCTTGGATTCTGTGATGTTACAATGGTTTTTATTAAAAAAAGACAAGCTAAATTGTTCATGCAATCTACCAAGAAAAATGCTGCTCCAAAAATAATAGGTCATGATATTAATTGTGTCTTGTATTATTATAGTAATGTTTTCTTGGAACTTTTACCTTCTTTAAGTTTAGGTGCTTGGAATAGGTCTTTTGTAGGTGCTTATTCTCCCAGACTAGCTGATCTTGTTTCTCTTAATTAGGTTTCTTTCAGCATCTTTGTTTCTTATAATAACAATAAGAACAACTTTTCAAATAAAGGGTATATTGAGTATTGGCATAGTGTTGGCATGACAAGAGATGAATGTCAACATAATTTAATTGATATAAATTTAATTGCAATTGGCCAAAAAAATAAGATTAGATTTGCTAGCAAATGAGTCGTATCAAATAATGCTTTTTTTCTGAATGAATTTCATTATCATGTCCTCGTGTGTTACAAAATGAAGAGGCCAAAATATATACCCCTCCAGGAAAGTTCGAAGAGAAATCTGGATAACAACCTAATTCCATTGACTAGCAGTCCAGGTCTATTTTGAGAAGAATTCATGCTTTCTATCATATACAAGATGCAAACATTTTGAACATAAAAAAAGAACCAATTTCATGCCTTCCACATCCTCTGGCAGTTAGACTTTATGACACCTTCTTCTTAAGCTGGTAGGGGTATTTCTGGTATATTGAAATGCTACTAACCACAAGTGGAAGAGCCGCAAGGCAACATATGGAAGGTGGCTTTCCTTCAAAAATAAACTGCAATAATGCGGTAACTAGAAGAGCAGAAACAATGACAAATCCCTGTAACCACATCAGAACCAGAGCCACGGCATAAGTACCTTCATACAATAGTAAGTATTAATTTGTTCTGCCAATTACTAAGCTTCTCAATTGTTTAATTGTTTTTATAAGTTATCTAGCAGCAATGTTACACGTTTAAACCTGCATTACATAAGAAAGCATAGATATGCAGTTTAATAATTTCAACTTTATGCAACTGCTTCACCAGTAAGGTCCAGCAAAAACATCATTAAAACAGTAATCATGGACACAAAATTAAAAACCTCATAATATGATTCCTCCAAAATAACCAATTTATTACCTTTCTAACACCACCAGCATAGGTTGTAATTAAGCCTACAAGAATTCCACCAAGAGCATTGGAAATTACTGGGATCTGAAATGAATAAATAACAATATGTAACATAAATAACATAAAGTTAGATAGCATCAACAGAAACCTTGACAGTCATAAAACACATCCTGGACATTGCATTGCAGCTGAATGCAAATGCTTAACCAAGGGGACCAAGATTTGAACTTTTCAAGTCTTCTAGACCTATACCAGGGTTGTATTGACTTTAATACATGCACAAGCATGACTCAAATATAAATGCTTAGAAACACAGAAAGAATGTTACCAAAGTTAAAGGAGTCCAACCATAAAAGAACCCCTTTTGCCTCATGGCTTTGCCATCTGGAGATTTCAAAGTACTGATAGACAAGCACAGACTCCCAACAATAGACATCTCTATAGTCATCAAGTATGACGAGTGTCTTTTAACCTGTGATCAAATGAATGAATACTACAAGTATAAACAAAAAACATATAAATAAAAAATCTGAAACTACAAAGTTCTTGTAACCTGAGAGGCCCATTGACACAATGCAGAAGCCAACCCAGATAGCACTGAAGCAGCTAATACTGGAACAATTCCATAAAATAAAATCTGATCAGGATTACCACCAGTAGAACCTTTGTTAGAGCTTTCGCCAATGCTTAAAAGAACAGCCGCAACTATCAGCAAGAATAGAGCTCCAAGTTGTTGAATTGATTGTTTCTGCCTGTATAAGCTATTATAAGATGCCTTGAACACCCATAAGATCTCATTTAATACCATGTGAAGCACTTCTTATCTAAATTTTCATGCCTTTGCTAAAATCTACTAACAAGTATAATCCACATTAACTGTGTGTAAAAACACTTTAATGTCCTCTCTCACTACAAAAAGAAGCAAGTGTTTTCTATAAAAAAAAAAAAATTACAATAAGTCGTTAACCGATCCAGGCCATAAGCACAAATCACTTTTATATAGAAGCCCACAGGTCACAAAAAGATGGCCGGGAAAAAAATTAGATGAAACAATGGAACAAAAAGGCATCCTTACTAAAACTACCTTAGGCATATAACAAATCCCTATCTACCCCAGCTCCCTCCACCAAAAGAAACAGGGAAAGGAAGAGAAAAGGCAGACAAATAACTCTGGCTTTACCATCCCTTAGTACTTCCTATCCTTAGAAATGGAACTGTCCTTCAACCAATCCAGACTTACTGAGCTAAGGCCATATTGTATGAACTGAACCCAAATTAAGATAAGAACCAAGATACTAAGCATAAATAAAATACACAGGAGGTCACTAAACACCCAAAAGTCCAAAACATTATATGAATTTATGGTTTATAAAGAGGGCAATAAAGCAATCCTATAAATGAAATACATGTCTGGATGCCAATCCAGCAAATATCTCAAAAACCATATATTCTCTTCTTTGGCAAAAAACCAGTTACCCATTTCAAAGAGAGATTACCATTGTCTGCCTCAAAAATCCTTATCTTATAGCAACCAATGAGAAAATATGCTGTTATGAAAGTATACAACCATAATTATATGCTTATCACAACTTATAGTGACTGATAAACAATATGTCACTTCCAATATGCAAGCACTATTCAATCAAACCATATACCAAACTAACATAGATGACAATTAGTGTTCCTTCTTATGCACATTTGAACATATGGGCTAGGTCTAGAAAAGCATAAATATTAAGGATGTTAATCCCAATGACATGCCTTAATATTAAGTAAGTAAATAATGCAGTGAAAAGTATCTTTGTCTGATTCAGCATTGTGAATGTGAGTGAATCAAGATTCCTGTAAGAAATTTGCAACAAGCTATTTTGAAGAGCATAGATAGCTGCAGGAAGTCCTGATGCAGTCAATGCACCAATCAAAGTCCATTCTTTGCATGCTCTCTTTAAAGTACCCTCTTTTGCCATGAAAATTACTGCACATATAACCTAAAAAGCATAATAAAAGAATACTTGAGTAATGAGAGAAGCAATGCACAGTACATGTGTTCTCATCAAAGACAAATTTGATTAATGGTTACCTTTACAACCTCACATGCCAAAACTGATGAAGTTACAATGACTTCATTTCTGTGAAAAGGGAAAAATGAAGTTAAAAAGACATGTTTATATGACCATTTACAATAAAATGTTCCTGCTTCATGCACAAGGATATGACTAGAAAATTAATTCCATAGTTAACACATTAATTCCCCTCAAGAATCAAGTAAGAAGCATATGCTAATGAGTAAACCCCAATCAAAATGATTTTGATACAAAAACAAACTAATCATTCTCATAGAAACCAATAGCACTTACCATGCGTATAGCTATAAGATACAAAGAAGGTAAGGATAATGGCATGAACTAAAAATTTCAATACACTTACATGAAATAGCACAACTCTATGGATAAACCCAAGGGAATTCCTTCCATTGTGAAGAAACAGACTAGTAGACAAGAATACACAAGTGGGGTATTGGTTTCTCAGTCAAACTCTGAGAGGCCTTGATTTCAGATAGTTTCTCATCCAAGTAATCATATGGCCATCTACATAAATATTTTAGGATATCATACACTCAATATAAGGAATATGAATGCAGCTAATATGGCTTTCTAAATCCAACTTTTGGGGGAAAAAAACTCGATCTGGACCTTACTAGGCCTTCTTCAAGTCAACAAATAAAAGAAAGAAAGCAATGTTTCAACTTCTAAAACCCCCTTTGTTTTTCTACAATTTTGCTTAAAATTTAACCATTGGAAATTGAGAAATACACCTATAGCTGTCTAGTAATCCTTTTATACTTTTTAGTAGATTACTAATTCAACTGATTAAGTCGATCTTGTCTTTCCAATGCCCCAGATTAATCTTGCCAACAACTACTAAACTAAATGACCTGCAAGATACTTAATCTGTTAACATAAGGGAGAGTCAATAAGCCTAACGGGAACATCATTATAGATATAAAACCCGTCTCTATCATTATTGGATAGGCATCGAAAATACCATCTTAATATGTCAGACAGAAAAAAATAACGAATAAACCATCATGTTCAGGATAAACTGAATATGCATTAATTGGCGTCCGTGTATAATCAACAGAAATGCATAGTAACCCATATTCTCGTTGGATGGAGGAATCCAGAACCAAATAGTAAATTACAGAAAAGTAATCAAGGCAATTGAATTCTTAGAAGTAACTTGGTAAAGAGACCTGATAAACCATTTGGAAATCAAAGGTTGAGCTCCATATTGCAGGGTGAGAAGGATCGAATAGAGCCAAACCCTTGTACTCATCCCGCGCGAGCCTTGTTGAGCGGTACCTCTGGACTTAGGTGCCGCCATTGCTGGCGACGACAAATACTAAGGTTGACTACTTCTCTCAACTTCGAATTTCTTTTCTTTTCTTGACCCTCCGGTTTTGATCTGATGCGATGCCAATCTCGTTCCCTTGACGAAACGCTTTCTTACCACGTGTGAAATCTAACGAGGCTTATAAAACGGCGTCGTTGACAATCCGCAGGTCGAGTTTGAGGAATGTTACTGGCTCGTCTTGTCGTCATGCAAAAACAAATTATAATTAAATAAATTAAAAAGAAAACAGATCCAGTTGGCAGCCGAAAAAGTCTCAAAAAAAAAAAAGAAAAAGAAAAAGCAGATTAAACGCGTGACGTTGCTAATTTCTTGACGCTGGTTGGAGCCTAACTAATGGGAACTTGTGAAGATATTTTGCTCTCACGCCTCACGGAGGCGGCAGAGTCGGTTGGTACAACGCAATCGTTGAGGTAGATTCAACTTGAACAGGATTTTAAGTTTTAGCCTTCGGTTTGTTTATTTTTTCGACCAGAGGACAAAAAATATACTAAACAAAGTAACAAACCAATTTTTTCTGTTGGCGCAAATATTGCAAAACATCTGAAATGTGATGTCCGGAAGAAATTGGAGAGACACTGGAGAATCTACAACGGAACGGAGCGTTTGATGTCGTGGCATCGTTGAGGAGGTAGAGGACAGGGTAGAATAAAAAGCTTCTGTGCCACCGGATCTTGATTGAACTGGTAATGAAATTCTTAAATTCAAACTTTAAGAATGTACGAACATTGATGATAGAATTTTCACTAAAAAAAAAACCCTGACCTAACTCAATCTAAATTAGTCTAACATGTTTGGATTAGTTTTTAACTTAAATTAGAACAGACAAAACTGAGGTTAGAACATAAAAAGCTTAAAAAATATTATTTGGATGAGCAAAAAATTTCAACTGCAGTTAGGATATAAATGAGCATTTTTTCCCACGCTATGATACATAGCTTCTCCATTCATGTTGGCATTCAATGCTTTCTCTCGCTTCTCATCTACTAACTCCAGCTCCTGTTTTGCTTCATTTATTATTTTCTATTCATTTATTATTTTTATTTTCTGTTCATTTATCTATCCACCTGAGCTCCAGTGTTAAATGCCAAAAAGTATAAAACATTAACACTTATTTTTATTTTATGTTTATTTATTATTTAGATTTTCCATTATATCATTTTCCCTCAACTTTATAGACGTATTTTATTTAAATTTAAGTTGTACAAAACTAGAGTGCATTTTTTTTTCAAAAAAGTCTTGCTTTCAATGAATATATATATATATATATATAATAACTACTTGTGTATATATAACATAAAACTAAAATTGTATACAACTTTATTTTTAAGTTTAATATTTTTTATTTATTAATTAGTCAAAGAATATATACAAAAAAATTCATGTTTACTTTTGTTATTAAATATTTCAATTGAATTTTAAATAAATTTATCCAAACAAATTTCAGTTTATCTATCTGACTTCTAAAAAGAAAATATCTAAACATAAATCACATTATATTAATTGATTTTTTTTTAATCTCAATTGTTAACTTTAGTTAAATTCTAATTTTAGTAATAAATTTTTTAAGTCAAACACACACTAAATCTTATCAAAATATAATTATAAGAAGGTTGTAGTTTTTTATCAGAAGTGAACGGTCATTCAATGATATTGTACATATCCCCGTGTACAATTTAACTAGAAAATCCCCCATGTTATGCATGTGGTTAAAAAATACTTTATATTAAAAAGAGAGAATATAATAAAAAATATAATGTTTAAAAAATATTATTAAAAAAAATTTTTTTATTAAAATATCTTAAGTTTTGAGGTGCTGAATTTTTCTCAAATATATTTTATAAATTGAAATAGAGGTTTTACTTTGATCTATGAAGAGGATTATAAATTATATTCTTACAGATACACACAATTATAATTTTTTATGTTATAATAATTATTAAAAAAACATATAATAAAACATTAAATATTAAATAATCTTTTATATTGTAGAAAAACAGTATTTTCACTGTACGAGGAACATTAATTTTAATGCAGTTTACAAAAGGTAAGATTTCGAAACATCCAGATTAAAGTAAAATGCTTAGTATTCTACGAGAAGTACATGTATTTAAAAACTATGTTTAAATTAAAGAATTTTAATGCGACTCCATCTAAATTGAGAATAGTGCTGAAAGGAAAGTGGAGCCTCAGGAAGCAGTGTGAAGGTTGAAGGAGAGCAAAATCACATTCATTTTCCTCCTGCATCAGATTCGAGGAATGTATTTTCCTCATGTTTAATTTGATTTTTTCTAGATTTAATCTCTTTTTTCAAGCTTAGCCTTGCCGCTTGTAATAAAAATGATGATGATCATGATCATGATGATGACGTTCATCACATGGGCACGGCAGGCAGGTTTGGTCATTTCAAGTGGACCGTGGACGAGGAGAATCTACGGGATTGTTTGAAATTATTTTTATTTTATTATTTTAAAAATTAATATTTTATAAAATATATTTTGAAAATAAAAAATAATAAAAATAAGTATTTTTTTATTATTCCTTATTTTTTAAAATAATAATTACAGAATATTTAAAAGTTGTTTTCATTTTTTTATTCTTTAAAATAATATTTTATTTTTTTGTTCTCTAAAATATTTTTTAAAATACATTATCAAATATATTTTTCTTGTTTTAAAAAAAATTATTTTTAAAATAGGTTTTTAAACAGGCCCCACGTAACCGGTCTGGTCCCACTGCCCCTGTGTTTCATGGTTCTTAGTGTTTTAGCATGTATAACAAAGGACTTGGTTTGGTTGAGAGAGATTGAATGAAATAAAATGAGCCCCCGTCCATTTAAAAAAAAAAAAAAAACAGAGACAGTCCACTGGAGAATAAAATGAACTATATTAAAATCACCAAAAACAAAAAAAACTCTTCATTCACTCAAAAAAAGCTTTCCGTTTACCGAACAAAAAATAAATAAATAAATAACCCTTCACATGTGGTTAGGATGAAATTATAAATATATAAAAAAAATGAAATTATATCAGCTTAATTAAAAATCTTGAATTCGAGCTTTGAGAATGTAGAAACATTGATGATAAAACTTTTACCTAAAAAAACCCTAACTTAGCTCAATCTAAATTAGTCGAAATCCCATTAAAATTAGATGAAGCATGACATTGCTATAAATAAACAAGAAATGAAATTATATCAGCTTAATTAGAAGTATTGAATTCGAGCTTTAAGAATGTAGGAATATTGATGATAGAGCTTTCACTTAAAAAGATTTTGATTCAGCTCAATCTAAATTAGTATAAATCTTGTTAAAATTTTCTCAGCTCGACATGGGACATACCTAAGATACTGAATATCAATGGTAAAGAAAAAGGCTTTGGTGAGATCATCCCTTGAGTTATCGATTCATTTTTGTATGTCACATAATTGTCTTTCCTCAAATATTTCCACTTAACATTGTTTATCACAAGAAGTGATCCATTGAGTAATTGATTGATATTTGCATGTAACATAATTGTCTTCTCTCAAAAATTTTCCGCTTAACATTGTTTATCATAAGAAATTATTAGCTCTCTTATAGTTAATATCCCTTCTCTTATATATTTCATCCTAAAAAAGGTTTTTCAATAAAAGAACTTGTGACGTTTATTGACCAGAATTTAATCTAAAAAAAAAAAGTTAGTTCCTTATGACACAATGAATTAAAGTTGAATCTTTATTAAAAAAAGTGTCTACATTTAATATCTAATTATTTTAAATAAAAATATTTTAATGTTTAGTGATGATAAGCAGCATCAATCCCTTCTTCCTTAGAGATAGAAAGAATGCTGTCCAATTTTTTCTTGTACCTTTTTTCACCAAATTTTTTTTTTGGGGTAACTTCATCAAAAAAAATATTTAATGTAATACTATACATTTTTCTGTGCATTTTACAATATCTAATAAATGAGTCACATTATTCAAAATTTGTAGATAATATGACATGTTAGATATTTTATATTGATTAAAATTTATAACTAATTGGAGTATTTATAAAAAAGTTAAACAATATAATTTATGTTCAGTAAAAAAATAATTTATTTTTTCATAAATACACAATCCCACCTATTTTGAGTGATGATAGCATGTTTTCAAAAATCATATTGAGATTGAGTCTGGACTAATTTGAATTGAGTTGAGTCCCGTGCATAGAAGTTTTCATTGGGGTAACTTTTTATGTGTATGACTTGGACTCAAGGTTTTCCTTAAGGTTCAAGGTAAAAAAGAAAAAAATGGTTTTGCTTAATGAAAATAGGCAATTAGGCATCAAAATAGTTGTTGCTAAATTTTGGAACAAAACAATAACTAAAATATTCACGATAACACCAACGTTGAAGACTATAACAACAATGTTTTCTGAAATTGTTCATTTTGGCAAAATTTTTCCTTCAGGCCGGCCCATTAAATTTTTGAAAGTTTTCGCCTGAAAATCCTCAAAAAAGTGGGCTATAATGATCCGTAAAGTTTTCTCCTCCAAATTCTGTCAGAAGATCCAAACCCAAGGCCCAAAAAGTTTAAGAAAATAATTTTAAAAAATTAATCATTTATTTCCTATAATTTTAACTTAATTATAATTTAATTTTTAAATTTTGATTTGTTGTAAGTCAATCATTATAATTTTAACTCAATTATAATTCAATTCCTAAACTTTATCTTTTGTAATTTAATCTTTATAATTCAACCACTTAAATATTAATCACATATTTTAAAAAAATAAAATTATAAAGATTAAAAATATTTTAAGCCTTTAATATTTGTTTAAAGATTAAAAATTTAATATTTATAATATTTTAAAATTTTAATATTTATAACATTAGTAATAACATTATAAAAATTAAAATTATGTTAAAATTTATTACTGATATTTAAATTATTAAACCCTTTTAATCTTTATAATTTTATTTTTTAAAATATAGGGATTAATATTTAAGTAGTTGAAATTATAGAGATTAAATTAGAATCGATAATTCATGCCAACTTAAACTTTTCTAAAAAAATAATTTTTAATGTTTAAGCCTA